ACACACACACACACACACACACACACACACACACACACGATCTCAGCAGCCCCCTGGTTTCATTCACATCTACAACAAGACAGCGTGATGTAGGACACTCACATACTCCACCATTACTCACAGCTACTCAGTTCATCTGTTGCTGCTGCGTCCTTCACCTCTATTAGACATACTTTATTTTGTGGATGTTCTCATGTGTCTCTACATTTTCTCCCCTGTTAATTTTTTTTTTGTGGTAGTTTTTCTTTGCTCTTGTTGAGGGTTAAGAACAGAGGATGCTGCTCCTTGTTAAGTCCCGTGAGACAAATTATGATTTGTGAATATGGGCTACATGAATAACATTTGATTGATTGATTGATTAGGTGTCTGAGGACGATGTCCCTCTGAGAGACTTTGACCCGCTTCTCTCCCACCCTGCTCTCTCTGGTAACTCTGTGTTGGGAAAACCTTCTCCTCCAAGCAGGAGGCATCCTCCAGCAGCGGAGGGGACATCACCTCCACCAGTCCAAAGTAAGAACCTCCGGGTTCCCTCAGGCTCCCCAAAACCAACCCATACTCTACAGCTGCAGTGCTTTATTGACTGAAAGAAAACAGTGTCCTTATGAAACCACATTTAAATTCACCAGATCCAGATTTTTATTTGAAAAATCTTCTCCTACCAACTTCTCAATCTAAATTTGTTCCCAGTTTTTGACAGTTACAGACGAATTAAAACAATACATGACGGAATCTCTTTTTTCCGACATTCCATACACTGAGAAATCAATAAACAACCGTCAGATGAATTCATGATTCTGTGATGGAATGACTTTCACCAAGATTTCCTGAGAGATACAGAGCACACAGAACGTACACAGGAAGAATTAATGCAGTTTGATGAAGCACTGTAAGCAAATGACCTCAGTCCAAACTTAATTTGATTTTAAAAACTATAACGGGGGTTGAGTTGATACTTGGCTTTGTTCTATTGTCTTGAACAGAAATAGAGTAGAATGAACATCTGGCTTAAGGAGCCAAAAACAGACTGAGGGCAGTTACTGTGTTTTAAAATGAATACTCTTCAACCTGCTGGATGTGTTTATACACGTGTGTGTGTGTGTGTGTGTGTGTGTGTGTGTGTGTGTGTGTGTGTGTGTCAGGTCCTGTCACACGCTTTATGGAGAGGAAGGTGTTTCCAGTGTTGCAGCCTGGATTGGAGGCTTTGTTAAGAGAAGCTCAGAATCACGGCTGTTTCCAGGTCTGAATTTCATATGATAAACACCCAACGAACGATCCAGCTACAGCCATCCATATGAGATCGTTAAATGACCACAGACTGACTCAGAAGGAAATGAATTGAAGGATAAAAATGGTTCAATATGGCCAATGATACTGTAACTTCGCTTATCATATGATCATTTAATAAAATGTCATGAACCTGTTTCACTTTGCTTCACCTCAAGCAGCTAGGTCAGCTAACTGCTCACACACACACACATCAGTAATAATAATCTGATGATATAATGTACTATCATGTAACACTGACTTGGATTTCATTGGTTACCTTCTGTTGCGTTGCAGAGGAAGATGACAGCATTTAACCCGTGTGACTTCTTAACTGAGTGGCTGTACAAGTAAGACCCTCACCTCCTCTAACAACTCTCTCTTCACTCCACAGTAGATTCTCTCCAATGTCCGCTTGTAAGTTCTGTGCGTGAAAAGTTACGTGTGGTGTCTCTCTTCCTCTCCCCTCAGCCACAACCCCCGCAGACAAGGACAGCTCCCAGTGAACATGTGCGACATCCCCTTTGTCAAGGACTGGCTCAGCAGGCAGTGAGTGACTCCTCAGCCTGTCACCTGTCTGACACACAGACACATGCTTTAACTCACTGTTTTGTTTAAAAATGTCTCTCTTCCGTGTTTTCTCATTTTGGAGTTCTGTGGTTACAGCCCAATCTCCAGTGTTTTAAGTGAAGAACACAAAAACATTTAATGGGGATTAACTGAGCAAAACATAAATGTATTATTTTTATTATAAGTGAATATGTATCTCTGTTTGTCTCAAGGTTTGTAATTTTCTTTCTCTTATTATTTTAAGTCCCAGACGTCCCATCCCTCTGTTTCTGCTGCTCACCGAGGAACAGGCTGCTCTGCTCATTCAGGCTTTCTGGAGGGGATACAAGGTACACTGGACATGACTCAGCAAAATGTTTTTATAACCAAACATATTGAGACAAACAGAGCGTAGAATGTTGAATACAGGTCTACAAAATTAGAAAACAAATTTTAACAAGGACACACTCCAAAAACTCAATTTCAAAATAAAAGTCAAGAAGAAAATTCAAAAATGTTTCTTTAACCTGGATGCTTACATGTAAACTTCTCAAACTAAGAAGAAACTGTTTTTTATGTCAGAAGCCTGATGGAGTCCTGCACACACCAAAGAGTGTGTGTGAGTTAGAATACAATAGGCGCCCTCCTGTGTCTGCATTCGCCCACAGCGGGATGTTGTTGTATAATTCTATCCTGCTGAAAAACCCCCTCTTCCACAGGGACTGCAATTTCATTCAGCAGCTTGATTATGTCATCAGTGATGCCGGGGTTTAATTCCCTCCTGTATAGGCATCATGGTCTGTACTGTGATATAAATAGACATACAGAGGAAAACAGCTGCAGTTTCTCCGCACACAGATAAACCCAATCTCCTGTCGAGTAAGGATGCAAGCAGGGGTCATGTTTTTATTTGTCTCACCAGACGCTTTTGTTATTTCGTAACCTTCATGCTTGTGGGAGAATCAAGTGTTAGTCTTTTATTTAGTGGAAAAGAGGCCTGCTGTGCTGTTAGGAGCCATTAATGGTCTGGAATTAGGTTTTCTGTATGCAGTTAAATTTGTGGGTGTGTGTGCATGATAAGATTTGCACAAATTTGCACGTATCCAGATGTGGACCCTTTGTACACCAGCAGGGGGCAACACTTTCTCCTTTTTCCTTTTAACGACACAAAATCTTATTGACCTCTGCACACACAAGGTGGCAGCAGGGAGTCAGCTGCCTGTCACTTCCTCTGTGTTTACTTTGAACTAAGAGAGGCTCAGTTGGGCCACTGATAGCACTGCAGCCAGGCACCCCGAGGGATTTGTTAAAAAAGAGAGAGAGACACAGCCAGAAAGAGCCACAAAAGAGAGAATGGAAGGGTATATGTGGAAAGGATAAAACTCAGGCTGTGCTTGGAACATTTCCGGATGGACGGACAGACAGACAGTGTTGCAGAGTGGCCTTAGTGTAGCAGTAGGGCAGGATGCAGAATGAGAAAATGAGGCACAGGGAGGCTGTGAACACAACACAATCAGAATCCTGAGTTGAGACTTGGCCGTGCGGAGGAACATGACTTATTTAAGATACACAGGGTAGAGTTAATTTGTTATTTTAGGTAGGCACTGAGGCAGGCTCCTGACAGGCACTGCAGCTCAGTGGGCAACAGAGCAGAGATGAGGGCATCAGCACGTTCCACTGTTCAGCACTTTACATTGTCTCTCTATTATTTGCAGAGAAATCTCTGAAAAGTGTGTGTTTCGGGTACTCTAATGTAGATGATGACATATTATGATATTTTGGTTTCAAGGGTGACCACGGACTAGTAACTTATCGGTTTAATGTTTACTTTACCTTTGTGAATTCATTTCGACTCTATTGTCAGTCCAGTTACACTCTGTGTATGTCTGAGGAAAGTGCTCTTGGACGAGCAGCCCCAGTTATTGTTAAGAAGTGGGGCGCTGAGAGTCCTGAATGGTATTTCACTTGACAACAGAGCAGAGACGAGGGCATCAGCTGTGCAGCACTGACGCACTGTAAAACCTCACTTGCTCCTGTTTGTGTGTATATGTGTGTAATGTTGTTTGTGTCTGTGGGTTTCTGTCACAGTTAGAGAATGTGAACATACGTGTCGGCAAACAGCATGTGACAAGTCAATAATATCATGTATTCTCTCCCTCGCAGACTCTTACTGAGCAGTATTGTTCGAAGATCTCACATTTAAGTGAACAACATGTTATATTTCACCATAATCTGTCCCAGTGTGATGTTTTTAAGTACTTGAGAATTTTTTTTTCAAGGTTTTTACAAGATTATAATAGGATTATGGGGTTTTGCTTAAAATAAACACAAAAAACATTTGACTAATTATTAATATGAGTTTCTGAATATTATAACATAGATATAAAGATAGTAATTAATCATTCCAAATTTCACACCTCTATCTTTACTAATATACTTTGTTCTCTTCTGCCTCCCTCAATGCACCTTCTTTTCCCCCCTCATTCTTACACTGTGTGATGTTATATAACCTGCCTGACGCAGCGCTGACTGCAGTGGGTGCATGTGTATGTGTGGAAATATGTGTGTGTGCGCGTGTGTGTGTTAGAAAGACTGGCAGACTCAGGGTCAGGAGACAAGGAAGGAGGGTATTTTCATTGAGTTTTATCCCTCCATTATTATCTCTTTCATCTGAACATATTGAGGACTGGGTCTGGAGAAGAGCAGTGGTAAATATGGTACAAACAGAAACAAACTCTCACACACACACACACACACACACACACACACACACACAAGCTCACATCAACGACCCAATGCGATTGTCTCTTGTTTCATTCACGTAGGACTATGAAGAGTTGCTCTGTCTGAACATATTACATAATCTTCTTTACACTCTAATCCATTCATCCATGCCTGCTGCTGTAATTCACACATACAGTATGTACATGCACAGACACACAGAGGCACACATAAACACACACACTTCATGGATCAGTAAGACTTCTCAGGCTCTCTCAGGTCTAGTCAGCTGAGTTGGAGTAATGTGGTAGCTGTGTAATAAACAGAGATTTCAATTAGATTGTCAATATTATGGGAGTTGTGGTCAGAAAGGGCTTTTTGTCATAATCATTTCCACTGTCTCCTGCAGATTTATTAAGCGCACAAGCGCACACACACACTGTGGTTGACCACATGTCAGCTATAGTCTAACCTTACTTATAAAATAAATCACATTCAGGTCAAGCCATGTCAAATTCAGGTAAGATAAGTGCGATGTATATTTAACCCGTGTGATTCTTTTTTTTAAATAATATAATAAAAATAATAATAAAAAACGTATATAAATTTATATACAAATCTTGGAAGATTTGTGTTTTGGATATTCTAATGTAGATGATGAAATGTATGTTTTGGTTCTAACGGTAACTACGGACTAGGAGGTTAAAGATTTAATTTACTTTACCTTTGTGAAGTCATTTCCCATATATTATCAGTCCTGTTACACTACCAACATGTCTGAGGAAACTGCTCTTGGACTAGCAGGCCCAGTTATTGTTAAGAAGTGGGGCACTGAGAGTACTGAATGGTATTTCACTTGACATAAACTAATAGAGCTGATCGAAACAATCATACACACAGACACACACACAAAGAGCTGCACAGTCAACAGCAGAAGTAGGTCTGTGATTCCAGCTGAATGATCTGAGGGCAGAGATAAATGAATGGTTTGGATTCAGGTCCAGTCTTAAGTCAGTGACAGGTCACATGGAGTGGCATTCATGCAGAAAATATGTCACAGGCACTCAGGACATCCAGTAACCGCTGGCTCTGCTTGTCCTCACTGCCCCCTCCCGCAGAGGGTCTGTCAGGGCATCATGGTCCAGAATCCAATAGAAGGGCCTACACAGGTATTCCTCTAATACCCTCTTCCATCTGAAATACAGAGACTACTTTCATTCTTGTTTACCTTTAAGTGCTCAAAGGACAGTAGGGTTAGAGTGTAAGGAGTCCACAGAATCAGATCACTGGATTCATGGCTGGTCAAACCTGGATGCAAGAATTGACCAACAAGGGAAGGGTTGCTAAAGTACATGGTGGCTGTGGCTTCATGCATTCTGTCCTTGTGGCTGGTGATGCGACTGCAGCGGGTCCCTCTGAACAGAAGCCATTGTGCTGCTGCAGAGTGTGGGACTGGACGAGGAGCTCAGTCTCACAGGCAGCTTTTGCACAAAAAGGGAAGCAGCTAGAAAGGGTGTGCAGTGGGATTGAAGAGTGTGTGTGTGTGTGTGTGTGACGAGGGCATGCTGTGCACAGTTTGTGTTTCTGTGTGGTTGTTGAGTGTCGGGGGTTGTGCTGCTGATGGTGTAGGCTTTGAGAGAAAGAGGAGGATGGGGTCCCTCTTCTTAGTGTTCTGTGCCGCTCTGTGATTTTACAGCACGTGTGCCTTTGCTTCTGCTTCTGCATGTCAAATATGCGTGTGAATGCATACAGGCTTACAATGCCTTTCTAATTTTTCTAACCACTCTAATCCCAAGCTTCATGCATACACACCACATGAGAGGAAACAGACCCTGCCACGTGTGCAGTGTTACAGACGAATATAGATATTTTCTTGTCAAAGGTTCATTAATTTTATTTCTTTATTTGTAGTGAACGGATGAGGAAAATATATAATTTGTTGTCCTAGATATATTCAGATGTACTCAACATAGAGAGTCTTAGGACATCTTCATGCACACAGTCAAAATAATACCCTCTGCTAATCAGCAGTGCTAATGCACACAGACAGGACTCATAAAGCTCACACACACTCACACACACTGATCTCAGCTCTTTGTTTCTTGCTATCACACAGAAACTCTCAAAGTCCTGTAGAAAGCTTGTGTGTTCACAGAGCCAGCTTTCCAAGAACAGAGACAACCATTTTTTTCTGACACAGAGTAGAAATGGCTGCACAGACTCAAGAAAACACACTCAGGCAATGGGGAGGAGCTCCTCCGACGCCACCTCACGTCTTATTTCCATTTCTATAGTTTGCTCCCATCAGCAGAGGGCTTGTTGCGACGCTGTGACATCCCTAGAATTAACTACTGGGGCCCTCTGGTCTTACTCACTCCTCAACCCATCACCAGGCATATGTAACAGGCCCACTTTCATATGTACCGCTAATAGCAACACTATTGTCGCTACGCAAGCAGAAACTCATGGGAAAATGCTGGAGTCGAATAGAGAGGGAGGAGCTGGAGGAGAACGGGATCAGGGAGAAGGGAGGTGGAAGAGAATACAGAGTGGAGAGGAGAGCAGTGTGTGCAGAGGGTTGATGTGCTGGTGAATGGGGTGTGGGTTTGGGAGACCGTATCTGAGGAGAGGCACACCTGAGTGCTGAAGGGGAAGAGAGGGAACACAAGAGTTCACCAGTGAACAAAGGAGGGGGAAAGGAAAGAGAAGTTTCTAGTCGTAGTTCTACAGCTCATTACGTTTACATAACACTCTCACAGACCTCAGTATTGTTATTGTACAGCAATGTTATGTAACAGTGAAGCAGCAAAATTAAAGCTTTAATTCATAACTTCCCTCCTGTGAAAACTATAATAATGGTGATAATAATATTAAAACTCAGCTACAAATAGCTTCATGTGAAAATCACAATTAAAGCAAATGGATGCAGCAGCACACACCTTGAAATATAATGGTGAAATAAACTAGTAAAAGAGATAATGCTTCAGTCAGGAGAGAATTCTAGATAAATGAAAATGAGGAAATCATTAACAGAGGAATATACTTTGGCACTTAGACCCAGGCTGAAAGTTGTTGGGAAATCAAAGCAGTAATATGAGATGGGTTTTTTTTAAAAAGGGGCTTTTAGAAGTGATTTAAGCGAGTCCCTGATGACAAAAGTTACAACTAAGATGCTGCAACATCCAATGGCATGTTTGTTAAGTTGTTTCACCTCGCTGTCGTCATTGTGAACTAAAGCTATCATCGATTACAGGCATGGAAGTTGTGGTGTCTCCAGTAAATTAGCCGCTCTCACAGTTGAACCAATGTACAAGTTAATGAGACAAAGAGATACACACATATAAAAGGTCACTTTTGGTGTCAGAGTACTGATCAGCTTCCAATTTAATTAAGTCATTGATGATGATGCTTATCTGAATTCATTCATGTGTTGCCTTTGCCTGTGTGTGTGTGTGTGTGTGTGTTATAGATCAGAGCGCGCCCAGATGTGCAGGAGCTGCGCCAGTGGCAAAAACAACTGAGAGAGAACCACGACATTGCCAAAACTGTCAAGCAGTTCTGGGCCCAACAAGAGAGCAGAGGTGAGAGCTCACAGACACACACACATGCACGCGGTACAACCAAATGCCTCCGAGTTGCTTGCAACACAATATCATTGATCTTCACTGTTTTTCCTGTGGCCGACAACAGCTGCAGATAGGCGGGCAGCACACCAAGATAAATGCATTGATGTCAACCTATAAAGTACGATACACATTGACACAGATACACGTATGTATTACATTGTGCACAATACATTCTCAGGCACACACAGAGACTGCAGAGATATAGCCAAACCTAACCCAACATGGCAGTGAGATGAGGAGTGCGAGAACAGTGATGCATAGAGAGAATGAGGCCAGTGACAGAGACAAGAGGAGAGAGAGTGGGAGGAAGAGAGAGAAAATTACAGGCTGAGGCGAGAAAGAAAACGTCTACATGGCTCAGGTTGTGTTTTTGTGACAGCAGAGAGGTTAGGGGGGATGAACACAGAGAGATGTATGAAATGATAAAGTGTGGGGGGGGGGTGTATGTGTGTACCGTGTGCACACATGAAGGACAGAGTAGAGCAGCTGAGAATGCAGACCCATGTCCAGTGTCACTGACTGGGATTAGGGCTCAAAGAGGTACACACACACACACACACACACACACACACACACACTGAGTATCACACTTCTCAGACATTTATAACATAATGTCCGAATGAACAGAACAACAGATTTCTAAAAATAATTAATTATTCACTGAGGGGTGTTTCAGCTAATCCGACACTGCTGCGTTAGTATGTCAGTCAAAAGCAGGTTGGGAAACACTATGTGAGCTTCCTGTATGAGTCAATTAATGTGCAAACTGCCAAACACAGACACTCCAACCAAGCCAGTCATGGTAGCATCTCTGTTTTTGTTGCACACAAACAATTGACAACACTGTCATAAATGCAGGTTTGTTTCACACTGACACATTCCACACAACAAAAGCCCTCACTGCAGCCGCGGCAGGCTGACGAACATTCTTCCACTGGGGTGCCACAGCCACACAGAGCTGCTGCTGCTAGCTGCTGCTACTGAAACTGCAGCACTACTGCTGACCTGACATTCTAGCAGGGGGCCTGCAGATGTATGTGTTTGTGTGTGTTTGTAAGAGGGCGTGTAAGTGTAAAAGAGGGTCTGCCCAGACCGTTGTTCTGTATAGAAGCCATTTTCTGACCTCTTCAACAGAAGATGAAATGGATGAGAATGGGAGAGAACCAGAAGTGTGTGAGACAGAAGCATGGAGGGGAAGAGATTGTTGCTGAGGTTGCAGTTTGTTCGCTGTTTTGCTTGTTGTTGTTTTGGACGCAATGAAGCAAGCAGAGCCTCCAGCAGCTGGCAGATAAATGACCCATGTTTGGGACAGACCGAGGTGGAGAGATTGAAAATGAAGGCTTATTTGGAGAAGCCCCCTCCTCACTGTATTCACGCTCTTTGAGTCGATCCAGCAACAGCTGAGCTTGTCTCATTTGACCCGAGGACACCAGAGTGCATTACTTCTTCTGCCATTTCACGTGTCACAGATTGGAATCAGAATTCGTCAGAGATGGAGAAAACAACAATCAGGCAAAGAGCAAAGTAACCCAGAGTGCAAACACTCAATGATGTTGGGTCAAAAGGTCACGGCTCATTGGACAGGTGCAGCTCTCAACAGCTCATGAATCACCATACGACTGTCCTTGACTGTAGCCTGACATGGTGGGTGTTTACCAGCAGTGTAAGCACTGTTCAAACAGAGTAGTAAGCTCGCCTGGCAAACACCTTTTCTTCCTAATGGTAATGAAAATGAGTCAGAGTATGTGATTAGCAATTCCCGTTGCTGCAATTAGTATGTCATAAAACAAAAAACAAATAGACAGTTGAAGTGTTAGTTTCAATAAATTACAAGTCCGCATTTTAAATATCTCCCTCCTTAATTATAAAGACCAACATCATCATGGTTTTAAAGGTTGTGTTATTTAAGATATCAGTCATTGTATCTGAATCAGGAAAAATAGATTGTTTAGATTGTAAATACAAGTACTAAGGGGCTGCACTGGTCCTGATCGTAGTCTGGATATCATTAAGAATGGACAACATGACTGCTCCCCAAACATGAAGCCAAAGCGCCTCCATCAGTATAGGTCATAAATCCTGCCTCCTCCATGTTAGTGGATAAGACAAGGACCAAATTACAAGTCAAAGTACATGGAAATACATTTTTCTCTGTCATTTTAGGTAGTTCTTATAGCAGCAATTTTTGTCCAAGTGTTAATTTTAAAACATAAAAAAATGGAGGAAGTGGAGACATGTCCTCCATCTTTATATACAGTCTATGGTCCAGATGTCTGTGCTTTATATACTATTGATGCACCTCAGAGACACAACCACAGTCATCACTGTGGAAATATTGCACAACACATTTCACTACCATGCTTTATAATCTGTTGATGGCTCTTGTTGTGGGATGACTGGTCAAATATAGCAGCCTATTCATCATAGCTTCACATACCTAATGTCAAAGCCTTTGTCTTTCACTGGCCAATAACACAAGGTCACCACAACAATTTTGCATCTGCCACAGTGAGTAACTGTCAGTAACTGCTTGTTTAGCCCACATCGCATTTACTATTAATTATAATTTGGAAAAGCACTTTTTTGTGCCTTTAGACAAGTTGTTTCGGCCTTTGGACATTAGGATCATGCACATACCAAAAACAAGATCCTTAGAATATAATCAAACGCAAGTCTGAGTGTCCTTTCTTGATTTTTCTCAAAACACAAATCTGTGCAAAATAAAGTCAGTAAAATTTGACAAAAGAAGCTTTGTGTTCATGTTTTGGTGAAGCACTTAAGGACTCAGCTTTAAATATTTTAAGAGTTTCTTTTTTTAATGCACCAAACGGTTTTCCCCAGTGGAGAGCAGAGTGCAGAAGAATTCTCAAAGATCATGCACATTTCTAACATGAAGTGCTTAAAACAAAATTCATATTGCAGTCACATACTTAGTCTAATTAAAGATGCACTTCTTGTTTGTTCGCAGTGGGCTCAGCTATGACAGATCTTCCAGAAAGCCCTCAGCCTGGTAACTCTGATCTGTCCATCCAAGTGGTTTCCCCCACCCCCCAGAGCACTGTGGTCCACACCCCCACCACCCAGATGACCCCAGAGGCTGGTGAGTGGCTGACCCCCAGCCTATACAGCGTGGAAGACATGGCCTCCACACAATGAATAATTTCCTGTCTATAGCTACGGCCGGTGTTGAATCCCTGACTGCAGCGTTTGCAAACTGAGCTAGATGCGTGGTACTTTTTACAGAAATCATTTGCTCTGTGTGCAAGGTTTTTGTGGCATGTAAAAGCAATTAAAGTCTGTTAGGTTGATGAAGAAAACACCAAGTAATCAGTCAAAAAAGCCTCTAAAACCGTCTGTAAGCAGTTGGATATGGCGAAGCAGGGATTTATGGTCAAAGATGCGTGTCTGATTAGTTGATTGCTTTTATTTCCTTTTATGATGGATCACTTCCTTTTTACGAGTCTCACCTAACAAAGGAACAGCATGGTTCATGTATGATACCGTCGAGGGGGAAACCTCTGGTCACAAACCTGATATTTCCTCTCAGTGCCTCTGGCTGATAGCTCCCTGGAAGACAACCAGTCATATTCCCTTGACTTGTCATTTCCTTTTTCTTTAGCAGTACAGTTCACTGCACAAAAGAGGTTATAGCATTTCCATTCAAGTCAGGAACTGAGGCCAGAGTGAAAGGTGACTCAGCGTACACAGCAGCATTTTCTTTTCTGTTTATTAGAAAAGGGAAATCCTTGTGAAGAAAACAAAAGGTGTTCACTAAATATACAATAAAATATCCTTCTTAGATCCACTCAATATTTTACAAGTGATACTAACCCTGTTATATAGCTCATGTTTGGTGGTTTAATATTTTTACATACATGTTATTGAAAAGCTGCTAAATGTCACAGATGGAAAAACTTTATTTATATATTTTATAAAGTTTTTTATAGTAAATATGGAAACAACAAATGTAACTTTTTACCAATAAAATGACATTTCCTCTATTTGCACATTTGGTATATGATATAAAAGTTGTGTAAGAACTTCACACTGAATGATGGTCACTGACGAATATTTTTAATATCTGGTGTTTGTATTCCCATATGACAACACAGTTAGAATATTTGATGTTTTGGTCTTTTGCAGAATAGTTTGACATTTTACTGGAACCCTGTTGAGTCTGGCAACTTCAGCTGTCTGTCTCTGTGGCAGGGAGCGATCAAACCGGATCTTAAATGTCACGCATCAGCCTCGGAAAGTTCATGAAATTTTATCTGCAAACAAATTCTAGATAAAAAAAAAACTGCATGCTGCTCAACTGACTGCAGCTCTCTGCTTTCTTTAATGTCAACTTAAAAGATTGTGCAGGCGGTAACTGTCTTTTTACTGCCTGTCAATTAAAGTGAGTGAATAAAGTGCACTGCTGGCACGTTTCCATCACTCCTTGAACCTGGCCTACCTGAGCACATACTTCTGGTTTCCTCTCCGGTGACTGCAGAGCAGTGAGGCAGCGGTTTTATGACAGATGGCTTTCCTGACCATCCCAGTCACTGATGCACACCACCTCCCAGTGAGGCATGGGGAGGGTCATGTATCTTCCTTTGCAGGTATGTGGATTCCTGGGAGACAGCTGCCACTGGGTGCAGGTGATAAAACAGCACATTTCATTCTGCGGACATCTGATAGTGCAGCCAGCTCCACAGAGTCTGGCAGCACTGGGCCCGACTGAAACTGGATCACACACAGCAGCAGGAAGGAGCGGGCACAGGGCTGTCAGAGCAAAGCCAGATAACAACTGGTTCTGGGCTGCGATTCCAGGCTGGAGGGGGAAGAGTGGAATACAACTGAGTTTACACACAGAGAGTAAAAGTGAAATATTATAACTGATGATTATAAGTTGTACAAACACCATTACTAAATTGTAAACAGGATGCTCAACATTATTCAAGCCCCTAAAACACTTTCTTATGTATGAGTCACTGACTTGGTCTCAAATAGCCCAATGGAATTTGTTGAGAAGTAGGAATAGGGGTTCGGTCCTTAACGGGATAGTTCATAACAAAAATAAATAAATAATAATAATAATAATAATAAATTGTGTGCTAACGGACGGGTGGGTGAAGTGCTTGAGTCTAGTAAATGGTGACCGATTCGTCAAACCAGAAAAACAACAGAAAGATCCTCCACGATGCTCTTGAGGTGTCATCCAAGTGTCCGTAAGCCCACACATTCAAATTTGTTTAGACTAAATGTCCTCTGTTACCCTCCTTTGGACCCACGTTCGCATGCACACAACGAACACACTGCACACAAGCTCTCGCCCAAGGGTGTAAATGATGAATATATATTGTACAATATGTGTAAATTTGAATGTTGGGGCGTACAGACACTTGGACGACACCACAGGAGAAGTATGGAGGCATTTTATGCTTTTTTTCTGTTGTTTTTTTACATTTGAAGAATTGCTCCCCAGTTACTTCAATTGTGTTGGATTTGGCTGCAACGTTGTTTACCCCTGAAACTCCAAGAGTGTTTTGTTTTGTTGTTGTGGACTCAAACAGCCAAAATAAGACAGGAACGACTAACATGAATATTAAAGACATAATGCTCAATGTAAAGAAATTGCTACACGAGTCAGATTCAAGTATTGGTTTGTTTGTCAGCTCTGATTTTGACACTCTTCAGAATAATCCAGTTTCATGACCAAAGAAAAAAACACAGCATCCACTTAAAGTTAACTACAAACATGACACTTTTATTGAGCTTATTCCTGAATCAGTTACAGAAACAAGAGATTGAACTGTTTTGTTATTTTTTTTTCTTCTAATCAGGGGAATCAAGTTCTATACATAGGCATGCTGCGTCACTGCACAGTCACAGCTGTGAAAACCAGTATCACCCCTGTCAGCTGCCCCACTGGAACAGTCTGAAGGCAAGACAAATCTGGAGAGGACAAGCAGGGATGTGTCAAACCCAGGGAGGATGGGTGTTCAAACAGGCTGCCCAGGGATGACAGATATAACATATAGAAATTTTGTGCAAATATCACCACAGTCTATTTGATTTCAAACACAGAGACGATACCAGTCGGAAGATTCTCTTTTTTTTATTCCCCTCCTGTCTTCAAACTAATTGAGGAAGTTATTATTAGGTCCAGTGTCGTTGGCATTTTGTTCCTATTTTGGACCATTTCCCCCTGACCTGAATCTCTTTGCTTCTCAAGAACCAGCTCTCTTTTGTGTTTAAGAAAGCACAGACATTAATGTGTGTCATTTGATATACACAGAAATTATGATTGCTGTCACATGACCTTTTACATAAATAGAGTTAGTATTCAAAAGTACGTCTGAGAAAGGTCTTACATGTAGAAATGGTGATAAGCATGCACAGATAGGTAGTTGACAAGTGCAAAATCTACGAAGTCACGTTATTCTTTTTTTTGTACTTCACATTGAGTGAAAACATCACAAGAATTGACCCCCCCACCCCCCTCAGCTCCAGAGTTTTGTCTCATAACTGCTGACCATCCAAACCCTGAGGACAGTTCTCCTTCATGGGCTGCGGCTCACGGATCCAGGGCCCGCAGCCTGTTTCTGAACCAAACAGAGCTCTCTTTGGGCACGGAGCTGGCCTGCTAGTGCCAGTCCTATTTTAGAATAGCTGGTGGGTAAACATAAACATACAGCAGCAGTGAAGAGTTGACCCTTAATCTTTTTTTTGTCGAGGGCTGCTATAAGTCAAGGGCTCAGCAAAATGACTATTGATGGGCTTCCAATGTATTCTACCTTCCCTGCTCTGTTTATTGTATGAATAGCAGTGTAAGTCATTGTATACTGCCATTGTAATTTCTGAGAAAACATGAAAAAATAAGTATTCCGCAAAGAGTGGACCACTGTCTTGACCGAGAACACAAACACACTGTAAATCCCTATAAGTGATCATGTATCATATAATATCCAGAAAATTAATCAAACAAAAAAAAAAGCATATCAAGGGTTGGCAAAACATTTCCAAAAATGCTAAATTAAAATAAAAAGACACCAGCAGGATAAAAATAAAAGCATAATGTGACAGTAAGCAGTGTTTGAACACAAAGCAAACCAGTTTAAAAAAAATCCCCCCAAATAAAAATAGTTTGCAGTAGTCAGTTCTCCAGTGGGTCATATGACACTGGTGTCTAAACTCAGCCTACAGTTAAAAAAAGTAAACAAGCAAGCAAAGCTTTACAGCACTACTATGTACACAGCTTCTCGGGCGAAAGAGAGAGCTGGTGTCACAATGGAGGGAAAGGGTGTGAAATGGAGACACCAGTGAAACAGGAGTCCTTCTTGGCACGTGGACTTGAGCTATAGCTGATCACAGAGAGACAGGAGGAGGAGGAGGAGGAAGGAAGAAGAAGAAGAGAGAGAGACTCTTCACCAGATAAAGACGACAACCACACAGAGCAGAGCAGCACGGCCGCCCCGAAAGCACACACACAAACACACACGGAGAGACCAGGGAGGGAGCCATTTTCTCCACTGATTGGAGGCCGAGTGACGGAGGTCGCAGAGATCTCACCGTCACATGGACCCCCCCCCTCTCCCCCCTTCCTCCCTTCTCCCTCTCTTTACATTTGATCTCTTCCTTTCTACCTTGCACTATAAATCTGATCTTTGTGAGGCTATGGGATATCTCCGCACACCAGCCACCCCTCTATATATAGTCCGTCCCCTCACTGTTTCACTGCTGTCTGCATCAGTGTTTGCTCATGCAGTTCTGTGCCTCGCTGGGAAGCCGTGCGAAGGAGTAGTTAGCACCAGAGCACAACCTTGACTTTGAAATCCCAACTCCACCCACCCACCAACTCCTGACACGCATAAAATACACAACACTGACGTACGCACCACACTTAAACACAGATAGAGGAACTAAGAACGGGAGACCATTTCATTTCCTCGCTCTGTTTCCTGCTGATATAAAGTGACAGTTTCTCCTGGCTGCTTCAAAACCGCCAATGGCCACCGGAGATGTGGGAGAGCAGCACAGCAGTCTGACCTAGATTCGTGAATCGGTGCCTCCCCGTTGACTGACGCCCTCGTTGTCCAATGAGAGTCCACTCTACTCCACCGTATATCTAACAGCAGTTCATTAGCAGCTTGTGGTCCCTGTTCAGGTGCTCCAGGCTACTTTTGTTGTGTCTGTGGTCACTGGGAACTTCTTTCCCCGGCGCAGTTCAGGGTTTCACAGTTTGTCTTCGCAAAGTGTCCATGCAGGTGGGAGGATGAGTCGAGGTGAGAGGAGTTTTGTGTCATATTCACAGGAGTACAGAGATGGGGAGGAAGGAAAATGGGTGGTGTTGTTGGTGGTGGTTGGTTAGGTTTGTCGGAGCGGTAGAGTTGAGAAATTCTGGGAACGAGACACACACACTCTTTCCTCTTGTATTCTACTGTACATATACACACCCACAGAGGCTTTATTCTTTTTAAGCGGGCAGTGCTCAAGCTGTACAGTTGCCCATGTGCTTTGTCTTCACCTACGCTGTGGATGGATGGAGGACAGAGCCAAATGTTTCCACTTGAGCGCCAGCGTTGTGAGGCGCAGCAGAAAAGACATCTTGACTGACAGAGAGAGAGGGAGAGAGAGAGAGAGAGAGAGAGAGAGCAGGAAAAAGCGATATATTTCACAGTTTTCAAGGATGCTTACAGTGCTCCAGTCTCAGGAGAGGAAATCAGATGAAAAAGAAAAAGAATACTGCATGTCTATATTTTCTGATCTGAGTCAGCGTGCGTTTTGTTTTGCGACTCTCTGGCCACACTTTGAGTTTCTAAAACCCTTCTTTAGAGATTTGTTGTGCTGGAAGAGCTTTAGCTCTGTCCTCCATACCCTACTTCCGCTCAGTCTCACACACACTCATACATCATAAAAGTTGATTGGCACACAGTTAGTGTTAAAGTCTGTACACAGATTGCGATCCATGTCCGACACAACCAGGCAGTCCCCTCGTCCTGAAACCCTCCCTCCTCTCTCTCTCCATCCTCTTCTTCTTCTTCATTTCGTCTTCTGATCTTCTTTCTCTTTCCAAGTCCCTGTCACTCACCATAGCTGCCTCCCTGTGTAGGTTGGAGGGGCAGAGGGCACCTAAGGAAGGAAAAAATTAAGCTTGTAAATGATAAACAGTCTGATTAGCATCATATATATTCAGACATGTACGGACAGATACAGACACTGCATGCACACTGCCATAAATAAGAAGAAGCATTCAGTAGTTAGCAGCAGTAAGAGATCAGTGAACATGTTTCGTCAACAGTGCTTTTGTAAAGAAGTAAAGAAGCAAAAGGTTGTGTTATTGAAGGCCTTTCTCGTTTCTTTACTGGAATGAGACTAGTATTAATTTGG